GCCGAGAGTCTCATTCACACCAGGCAAGTGCGTTATTGCTGAGCTATCCTCAACCTTTTCACTTTTGGGATAGATTCCTGAAGTTTTCCAGGCTAGGCCTGAGTCATGTAGCCAGGCCAGTCCGATCTTACGGCCTTCTTATCTAAGCCTCTCAAGTAGCTTGCATTTCAGACCTGCACCCCTGTGCCAGCTGCTCAGTGGTATGGTTTGCAGAACCATCAGACAAACTGTGACATTTATGTAGCAAAAAGCCCCTTCGTGCTTTATCTCATTTGAACATGTGAAGTGGGTGAGACCTGCAGTCAATATCCCTATTATCTGGATGAAGAAGCTGCGTCTCACACAAGTTAAGTATCACCCTGAGGTCGGGCATCTACTAAACAGAGTGGCTAGAGGTGAGCCTGAAGTTATATCATATTACATTTTCACAGCTAGCCCATGAACAACAGTGAAGAAGTTGCTAAAGGCATCATTTCAAGAGAGATTTTATATTATATTATATTATACATTTATTTATGTATATATATAATTTCCATTAAGCAAGTGCTATCAACACAGACTAAATACTTAGCCATCCACACGCTATAATATTTAGGTCTTGAATAGTGTCAAAGAGAGCAGCCTGGGTCCCCATCCCATCCAGATGAAGCTGACCTCAGCCTGAGAGGAGGCTGCGCCTCTTTGTTAGAGCTGGCCTTTGTGAACTACTCAGCATGAGTTCTCTTTCTCTCAAATGCTCATTGTTCTGCAAGGCTATGGAGGGATTAAGGAGAATTCCATTAGGAACAGCTTAGGTCCAGCTGGTACCCCCAAAACACATGCATCTAGACTTTACTCTTTCCTATAGCAATCGGTCCACTCCCTGTAGAATACATAGAATACTTATCGCACTTTGTGTTGTGCTGTGTATGGTGACTAGCGTCCTGCTGGGGAGGACTCTAGTGTCTTGCCCCTTGCCCGAGTATCCGTCATTATTCGTGGAGTGTTCCTACAGTGACTCTTGCCACTTTTTGAGTTTGTTTATACTTCAGCCACATGGAGTGACCTGCCTACCCTCCTTTTCCGTCTCTCAATCTTTTCATAGGCCAATTCCCCATCCATTGCGCCTGCCTGCCTTTGTCTCTCCAGAGAATTCTTGGTTGTCCTTCAAGACCTGGCCCACCTCTTGTGGGAAGGCTTCTTTGTCATTCCCCCCACAAAGGGGGCAGGGGGCAGGGGGCAGTGGTCGCTTGTACATCTATAGCACATTTAGGAACCCTCACAGTGCCAGGCATGTGCTGGGTAGAGGCACTGCGCTGCATAGCAGCCATTGCTCTCGTGTGAGAGGCCGCTAATCAGGTAAATGCTGTACACCAGGTGAAGCAAGTGGCTGGGCGATGACCACTTGAGATCTAGAAATGAGGAGGAAGTGGGAATAGAAAGAGACGGAGAATTAAGTGATGCCATGACTGCTTACTCAGCTTCACCCTCCAGTCCAGTCAGCCAGCCCTGAGCTCCGTGAACATCTGGGTGCCCCGCATCTCTGCTCAGCCTGCTGCACAGTAGTTCCACCGCTAGGGTGCAGCCTGTTAGAATGACGTCACGCCCAGTGGCTCTGATGTGTGTACCTGATTAGTAGACAGGACAGGACGAGGTGCTGGCTCCCTGCTTAACATCCCGTTCCCACCTTCACTGTTTTACAGCATGATGGAAGCCACTCAGTCTCCATGTGGCTTGATGTGCTCATCTTTGAGGTGGGAATAAGAAGACTCCACGGGGCTTTCCTGTGAAGGTTAAATCAGATACTTAGCCAGAAACCATTAATCCAGAACCCGACTAGTGGAAAGAGATGTCAGAATAATGAAGTTGAAGCCTGACTTCAGTAAACAGAGCAAGGCCAAAAGCAAAACTAAATGCCCTGATTTACCCACAGTCCCTGTCTGTATTGTATAATTTAATTTGGACCAGGGAGAAAGGAGGACCCCAGAAGCAAGTGACCAGGTCGGCAGCTACTGTTAACTCTTCATTTGCAGCCTGTGGAAGTTCCTCCTGTCATTCGGTTTAATCCTTTTCTGAACAGTTAGGGACTCTTGTGCTGTGCCTTAAGTTTCAGAAAAATGGCTGCTCACAATCGGCTGGCCCTGGGCCTCCCTGCAACCTGGGCATTTTCACCTTCTAAACAGCACCGTAGAAACACTGTGTCCCGGAAGGGATTTCATTCATTCTCTTCCTACTTCCTTTAGTCTAGGAGATCTTCAGGATATTGTTAACCAAGGAGAGCGATGCCAATGCCAGAGAGAGTAACAGTTCTCTTTCTTTTTGTGAAATCCCTTTTCCTCTTAGTGACTCTTGGTGGCTCTCGCGCCATGCATTCTGACCCTGCTCATCTTCCCACCCTCTTGCTTCTGTCCTCTGTCCTTGCAACCCCCTCCCCCAAAACAAAACAAAATTCAAACGGAAAACCAAAGACCAGACTTAACAAACAAAACAAAAGGGGAAAAAAAGGAAAAGAATCTCGTCTTGGAAGCTATAGTGTGACCATTGAGTCACACAGCTTACCCTCTGGTCCATTGATCTTTACTTCCAGTATTCATTACCAGGGGTCACTGGTCCTGCTCGAGGCCTCCAGCTGCTGCCACTACACTGATAACTAGACTTTGACTGGATCTCCTCTTAGATCTCCTATTGTCCTGTGTTGTGGAGATCCTGCTGTTTTGGATCTGTAGGTTCGTCTCTGTCATATGCTCCAACAGTTTATAGATAAGCTGGATATTGGAGTGTGCCGACTTGTGGCCTCAATTCTGGGCCTAGGTGGTGGCTAGGTTGGTCGGCCAGCCAGCTCTCCCTCATGGTCGCTGCCCTGCGTAGGCTCTCCAGCCCCGCCTCAGCTAGCTCACACAATGCAGCCTGCAGCAAGGATCTGGGTCACACACACTGACACCACCAGGACCAGTTCTACTGTTCTGCCCAGGCAAGGTGAAGGGTTCTTTCTCCAGATTGCTATAGGGGGTGGGGGCAGTGAGGGGGACAGGGTCTGCTCTGTTGCTCTCATGCTCTCAGGACTGGCTCACCTGTGACCCCAACAGCAGTGTCAGCTCTAGTGTGCTACCCATGTGGGGTACAGGACCCACTCTCCCGGGTGGTATGGGGCAGGGTGAGTTCTCTCACTCTGGTGACTCTGGGGCCAGCTTTCTCGCCTGCTGCAGGTAGCAAGAGGCAGAGGCGGGAGGGGTTCTTTCCCTCACCCATGCCAGTGCATGGGGTTAGGGGTCAGCTCTCCTGCTCTCACACCCCAGACCACAGGGTCAGCTCTAGTGTGCTGCCCAGGTGAGAAGCATGCCTGTGGTAGGGGGTGGGCCCATCTTTCCCAAGTTGGGGGGCACCTCTCCCTTGAGGGGCAGGTCAAGCTCTCCTGCTGCAGGGGCCAGTGAGGAGCAGAGCCAGCTAACACAGGGCCAGTGAAGGGTAGGGTGGGGCTGGCTCAGCCAGCATGGTTCCAATGACAGCCTGTGGGACCATGGCCCATGTTAGAACAGTTTTCTTAAGTCGGGGACACCAATGGGAGTAACCTGGGATAATGTTTCTACTCCTGCTACTACTACTGTTCCATGCAGACAAACAATGTGCAAGTGGTAACAAAACTGGTCTTGTGAGGAACTTAAGAACAATCTCTATGGTTGTTTTAATTGAAAACCCTGGGGTCATGATTGCTGTATAAACATTGGCTTCCTGTAAGTACTTTGTTACAGGAACCCTTGGGTATGGGTATAATAGTTTTGTTTTGTTTTGTTTTGTTTTTAAAATCACTGAGATTAAAAAAAATCACTGAGATTAAAAAAAAAATCACTGAGATGGTTATCAGAGTTTTGCCAAGTGATGTTTCCCGGGGTTGTATTTATTTGCATGAGAAATGTATTCTGCCTTTCTAAATGTAGTCAGCACAGTTTAGAAAATACCTCCCACCTCTGTGGTTCCAGAAATAAAACCATGTCATCAGAATAAGGAAATAAGTAGCAAACAATTGCTCTCTCACTTTTAATGTCTGTGGCATTGTTGTCAAGGTTTTCATTCACAGATCAGTGTGCCGCGCAACATTATTCTGACCTTAGGTATTAAAATCTGTTTCTTATGCTTCATAAATGTTAGAGTCATGCTCACACAAGTCCCTGAAGCAGAGCCCCATTTGCTGATTGGTGGCTCCAGCAGGGTAAGGGGGTGTGGAGCTTTGCAGGGTTTACTACAGTCCATCTGATCTAGAGCATAGGAATCTGCATTTTAGTAGTGGTACCATGATAAAGAACCAAGAACATCAGAGATAATGTTGTGGTTTTCACATGGCAGGCTCTTTTATATATTAAATAGAAAGATTTCTGGTATGGGAAGGAAATTTACCATTACAAATACATTCCCTTTACTGCACTCTAGCCTGGCACCAATTAAATTCAACTATATGTATAATGTACTCTTAATTCCCAACAGCCCCAAGAAGAGCTAATGTGAAAAGTATTACATGCTCTTACATTTTACAGGTCATAAACAGATGGAAAAAATTATGCTGATTCATAAAGAAATTTGCATGTAATGTAACACACCTCAAAATGGTGTTCATGTGGTGGGGTGTTTTTTTTTATTCTTTTTTAAAAAAAGTTTTAGAGTTACCTTGAATAAAATGTAGATAGCACTTGGGCTTTCATAATGTTCCATCTATAATTTACTTGTATTTATTCCTCCTGCAAATATGAATGCTTGGAAGTATAGGTAACCTTGAAGCGAGTAAACCGAGAGAGGTTTGTGTTCAATGAAAGGGAAATTACAGAGTGGTTATTCTCTGCACACAAGGGCTTGTCGTAGGGCAAGCTTTCTTAAAGCATCTCAAATTTAATTTAGTTTATAAAACATTCATTTGCACACAGCATTTTAGGAACAAGTTTAGTGAGGAAATGAGCCCAGTAGTCATCGTGGGCTGAGGTAGGTCCCTTACCCTGCTAATGTCAACACTTTCTCTCTGTTCCTCCCGGCAGCACTGATCGCCATTGGGCGATACAGCGTGACCATAGAGACGGTGGATGTTGGATGGTGTAAAGAAATCACAGATCAAGGAGCCACCCTGATTGCACAAAGCAGCAAATCCCTGAGATACTTGGGGCTGATGAGATGTGATAAAGTAAGATGGACCTGTTTGTTTTCTGCATGTAGTTGCTATAGTAACTCACTTACTGCCACCTTCTCTTTCTGCATGCTCGTGCACACTGCTAGCCATGCATTTCCCCTGCTTTGCTAAAGTAATCTGGAATTATTTTTGTATTTCTGATTAATAATGGATTTTTGTACTTAAAAAGGGGGAAGGCAATCACCAAGTGTCACCACAGAATTTAGCTTCTTAGTCCTAAATCCCTAGGACAGAATTTAAAAGGCTGCATGCAAAAGGCGATTCATGCAGTTTAACAAATAAAATTTCAGAGTTTAAATTTCCTGTAACAGTGAAGTGTCAAATTGGCTTTTCATACGTGTTCATTCTTTTCTGCACACGTATGTGTTCTGGCCATTGGAGGCAAGAAGGAACCAATTTGTGTCCCCTGCATATCAGATTGTCTCTCCTGTCACGCGCTGTGAAACATCCCCAGAGGGCCAGCCAAAGTTCCCCGGAGCCGTTGGTTGTTGGGGATGGAGCATGAGCTCAGGAGTGGCACCACACTTAACTTTTGAAGACTGGAAGGAAATGGAGAACATCTGTACAGACCACTGAGCCCTGAGTAAATGTGCTCTCCTTTGCAACTGCCATGATTCCCTCCAACAAATCAAAGAATTTGTTCTCTATTGTATTGCCACAGTGAGAAGCTGGAGGCTGCGGAATCTCAGCCACCTGCCGCAGGCCACTCACCCCGTCTTTGGGGTCTGATCCCAAAGTTTCTTGAATATGCCAGAGGCAGCCTTCAGCCAGGAGGCTGCTTGTTTTGAAAAGGCATACCTCGTACCTCAAGATGTGCTCTTAACAAAGCGCTGGCATCCTCCTCCATCTCACATGTCTGTGCCACTTCTGTAGTGATGTTTAGGGACAAATCTGTCACAAGAATTGATAACAGACAAATCTGGGGCAAAAATAACAATGGCTCAAATCCCCTGTGTTCTTTGTCATTGTTGACAATAGATCTAATTGTTGTTTACAAGGTTGTAAAATCTCAACTGTTCTAGACCTTTGTTAGTTATGTTCCAGAGACAGCATTGTATCTTAGCCCAGCACAGAAAGCTACCTGCTTTGTATCTTAGCAACAGCACTGAGACCCCACAGGAGCAAGTCTCCCTCACACTCATTGCTGGCTAAGAGAACACTGCTGCTAACCTTGTCACTTGACAGTTAAAGGGTCCTCAGTAGGCAGAGGACTCTGGAAACACAACACAGTGACAGGCAAGCGCCTCCGCATCCACCAGGAAGCCATGCCCATAAGTGCTGTCTCAAACCAAGGACTCCAAAGTGAGCGCGTTTAGAAGCACTCTTTCCAGCCTGCCCTCTTTATACTTTTTACAGTGAAGGTCAGCTTCTCCTTCAGATACAGATTGTAACCGTTTAGAAGATGATCCACACCTAGTTGCTGTGCAGCGTTTTGCTGATTTTAAGAAGAATTCTGGAAGTTAAAAAAAAAAGGCACAAATTAATGCAAAATGAGATAGAGAGGTGGTTCCAATTAGTGGTGTCTCTAGGGTTGTAGCCTATTCCGAGTTTGGTTTTGAACCCTTTCTCAAACCAGAGGACTGCTCCAGGAGTCTGTCGCCTCTGACACAGTCCCGTCTGGCCACAGCCTACAACAGTTTAGCCCAGCCCAAGGAGCTCAGCCTTGCTGTCTGGCTTCCTGAGACTCAACTCAGCTCCGAGCCAAACGTGAAGGGCTCCATGAGAACAGAAGACATTTCCAAGCCACACACAAAGTGCAAGCAAAGCCTTGAACAGAAAGTTGGATGGTAAATCCAAACTAAAGTAGCTCTTCAGATTTCAAATTTTGTTTTATGTCATCCATCTTTAAATTCTATTCAAGACCCGAAGAAAGATTTGCCTAGAGAAGAGAGAAGGCTTATAGTGAGGGGTGTGTCCTCTGGGGCCAGGGTCTGGGGTCAAATCTGGGCTTCCACACTTAGTAGTGTAGTAACCCTGAACAAAGATTCTTGCAGAATTTGTGAAATGAGCACTATCCTAGTACCCATCTTGTAGAATTGTGAGCATTTAAATAAATTAATGTGTATAAGGTGCTTAGGATGATGTTAATCATATATAAAAAACCATGAATTACTATTCTTTTCCATGTTATAGTAACATGTGCTATACTTCAGTATGTGAATTTCAAAATACAATACACACACACACACACACACACACACACACACACACACACGAGAGAGAGAGAGAGAGAGAGAGAGAGAAAGAGAGAGAGAGAGAGGAAGGGAGGGAGAAAGAGGGAGGGAGGGAGAAAGAGGGAGGGAGGGAGGGAGGGAAGAGAGAGAGAGACCACATTTTGGAAGCAAATTTAAAGAGGAAATAAAACAGATTCAGACTATAGAAGATACCTTTGTAGTTTTCTTCATCAAAGCCTAAATATTTTGTTTCATAGAAAGATATCAGTACTCCTACTTTCCACACATTTCATTGATTAAAAACCAAGTCTTCGTGGAACACTATGCATTTGAATAAAAGTTCCTAACCCTCTGCTCCAGCACAGAGATGAAGAAATTATGACCATAATGCTATAATGCTGCTGGCATGGGTAGAGAAGCTAGCAAGAAGAAATAAAGGCAAACAGGAGTGGAAATAAGAAACAGGAAAGCCAGGACCAAGGCAAGGAGAAGATCTGCTGTGCATCCCAAACATTGGTCATCGTGCCAACAAAGCATCAAACAACCCAAGTGGATGCTTATCACCGTGTTGCTGTAGCTCAACCAGACCTGCTGAACACTAACAAAGTTCATTAGCTACAGATTCCCACCTCCTTGCGCACACCATCTGGAGCCAGCCAAGGGCCAAGGGACCTCATCACCTCCACAGTTAGCCACCTGACCAAGAATGTGGCCAGCAGGATCCCTGCATGTGGAGATGTCTGTGAGTGTGCATATCTCTCCAGTCATATTCTGGAGTTCTCTGGTCCTTAGAAATCATGAAACCCAGAAAGTGGTGGCGCACATCTTTAATCCCAGCACTCGGGAGGCAGAGGCAGGTGGATCTCTGTGAGTTTGAGGCCAGCCTGGTCTATAGAGAGAGTTACGGGACAGCCAAGGCTGCTACATGGAGAAACCCTGTCTCGAATAAATAAATAAATAAATAAATAAATAAATAAATAAATAATAAAAGAAAGAGAGGGAACTCACAAAGTCTTGTGGGCTTGAGGATGAATTCCTTTAATCCCAGAATTGGGTGGGGGGGGGGTTGCAGAGACAGAGGTATAGACCATGCTTCCAGGTCATTCAGGGATACACAGTGAGACTCTGTCTCAAGAAAAGAAAGATGCGGTAGAGTCTGGTTGCATTTTCTTTCACATGTAAGCTTCACTTGGGGCTACTTATATTTAATTTGGAGGCTATATTTTACCAGACTGGTACTTCCCCCCACTTCTGCTTCTAAGAGGTTACAAGAAAAACAACAAAATGCCTTTTATTTGTTGTAGGAAAATCTCAATCTCTCTCTGTGTCTGTCTCCTCCCCCTACCCACAGATGCAAAGCATTAGACATATTCTTTGCAGCTGAAAAAGCATGTACTCGGATTATCAATGTCTAAGGAAATTTGCAGGAAATTTGTTTGGCTGCAACATTGCTGAGTCCTGGGGAGGAGTCTCTAGCTCTCCAACAACTGGAGCCTTCCCCACGCAGCTGTAAAGTTCGGAAGTGCATTAAGTCTCTGAGTAGCTTTTCTGATGGCGGATGGATAAGCATGTTAAAAGGTTTTGAAGCTGACGCCACATAATCTCCTGAACTTTAATGCATTGTAAAAACCAAGAGAGTAAAACGCTGTGTGAGACTGCTTTGATGAATTGGGGGGAGCTTATACTCTTAGACACTGTTCAAAGGCTTACTTGACCTTGGGAATTAGAGTTGACCTGCAACCACCTATCAGTTTGACTCACATTTGTTTAGTGACTTAGTTAAAAATACTTGGGTAATCAATGGGACTGTAATACAAAGCAATGTGTTTACTCTAGCATCCACAACTATAAACAGTCAGTGGTGACTTTGTTCATAGAAACTGCTTTCATGACTTCAGTGAATGTAGACTCTATAGATCTGTTCCATATGATATTTTCCTCATTTCTTACAAGGCAATTTGGATAGCGAACAGAACTTACAGAGGAAAAATGCATGGGAAAGCTGTAGGGCAAATGGAAACGCAATGTTGAAGGTTAATGAAAAAGGTTTGGGGTAACAGGGTTGATGAGAAGAGAGGGGCACAGTGGAATGGCATTGGCTGGAAAAGGAGACCTCGCCAGAGGCAACTTGGCTGGCTTGGGAAACCTCTGCAGTGTGTGTTAATACCAAAGTTTGGAGACACAGGCCTGAATTATGAGCAGTGAATAACATCGTAAACGTAGCAATTCTCAAATGCCAAACCCTTGTGAAAAGCAGTTGGATGGAGAAATGCTGGAGCTTTTAAAAGCTCCCTTTCACTTTCCATTTTTTTTAACTTCATGCAGAACTAATTTTACACACTGTTCATTTGATTTGAAAATGCCAGCGTCTGGGGTATCATTAAAGAGCGTTATTGAGGGAGCCACTCTTGGCAAAGCTTCCACTTAAAATGCTTAGTTCTTATGTTCCTGTGGAGTTAGAAGCTAGGAGAAAATGTACCCGGTTTATACCTTAGGCCACTCTGCCTTGGCCCCCACCCACCACCATTAAGCAGGTAGCTAGCTGCCTTCTGCTGCTGTCTTCTCCTTGGCCGGTAGAGGTGTCTGGAAGGCTGTGCGGGCCCTCTTACTCGAGGACTAGACATAAATAGATTGTGAAAGGTCCACTCCAATGTCCTATGACCAAAGCCTCCTGGAATTTCTTTGATTTCTGGTTGACATAAATTAGAATTACACAGGCGTGAAGAGTCCACGAAGAAAAGATCAGAGAGGCTTGCTGGGGGCAGAGAGCTGCCTTTGTGGGATCTATTGATTACCCAGCTGCCTTCAGGCCAGGGGCTC